GCAGACCCCTGCCTAGTGTACAGAACTCCCTAGCCCTCATCACCCCAGGACACCCCATGCTGGGAAGACACTATCCTCAAGACTGATTTGCCTTACCATCTGGGTGCTGGTGGCATTCCCCTTGTATTTCTTCCACCTTTGCCCGTCAAGGCTGTAGAAGACAACAAACTGAGAGATGTAAAGGCTGGAGAACTTTTGTCGGGCCCCTTGGGTTTTTATTCCATGAATAATCATGACATGCAAAAGGTCCACCTGAGAATGAAAGTCAGGGATTCATTTCTGACGGAAAACCCAAGCCATGTTCAGGCAATGCACTGTAAACCCTGTGGAACTCACTTCCTGGTGACATAACTGAGCACAGGTTACGAAACTGGTTAGAATAGTTGTTCATACGGGCACAAGTCAGCCAACAGCTGGGAGAAGGCAGGGGAGAGCTGTCTGGGGAGGTGAGCCATTCTCACTTGGCTTTTGGGGGATTTTTGCAAAATCTGATGCTGCAGCCAGACCATCAAGTGATTCTTCTGCTGCACGAAGGATGGATCTGGGGGTCAGGCCAACAGCAACTCTGGCCAGACCAACAGCCATTAGGATCTCAGAGCTCCCCTCCTAGAGGGGAAGCAGGGGAAACAGCAGGCTGTAGCTGGGGAGACACAGGCCATCTGTTCTGCACAGTGCATCAGCCACAAGCATACCCTTGTAATGCCCCCAGCGGTGCCTCCAGCCACAAGGCACCTCTCACCTGGATCCACGCGTTGCTGTGGTCGGTGCTCCAAGCATTGATGGAGCCGGTGTTGTCCAGCCTGGCCAAGTAAGGAGCCCACTGCCCTGCAAGGAGAGCACACAGATATGAGGGTGCTGCTGGTCCCTGGCACTGCCCAGCCCGAGGCGGTGAGAAGTCCATATGCAGGATAGGGCCTGAGGATCACCCTCGAGTTTAGCAGCCACGTACAGGGTGGCAGAGCACTGACACGAGGGGCCAGACATGTGGGAAGGCATTTCGAGGTCCCTAGTGGGACGCTGACAAGGGCATGGATGGAGGAAGGACTCTGCGAGGGACCTGGTGTAGCAGAGCCTTGGGCAGGCAAGCACATGAGTTGTGTTTGCTGAAGCTGCCCCAACCTCACCTGCCTTCCTTGCGGTGACAACCCCTACTCACCATACTGCCCCGACGCTGTGATCTGGGAGTCTGCAATGTGGCCTGAGGCCAGGCCAAGAGCGTTTCGGCAGTCTGCAGCCAAACAGGGAGAAGGAGGGTGAAAACCAGGGAGAGTCTGTTAGATAACAAGGCTTTTGAAGGAAAAGCCTAGGCTGGGTAGCAGCCTCCAGGCTCAGGGAGGTTGTCTCAAGCCTCCAGGAGCCCCCAGGCTTGTTTGTCTCACACCACGCAGTGGGTTTCAGATGCCTCCATATCCATCCCTGAATTTTAGGGGTGCTGGAAGGTCTTGCTCCCGACCCTGATGTCAGCAACAGAGAGTTCCCAGTATCAGCCACAGCAGCCTCTTGCCAAACTCCTGTCCCTGAGTCCCCGACCTCTCATTCCCATGTCCTGATCTCCCAGCAATGCTGACAAGTGTCTCTTCTTTATACCCTTGTCTTGCTCCTGGGCCTTTTTGTTGCTAGGCAGCATCTTTTAAAAACAAATATCACATCGCTGAAGGAAAGTCTGCCTGACACCCCTGTCTCTCTGTGTCTCTCTTCTGGTCTGCTGAGCACAGGGTTGTTTGTCTTTTGTAATAACCATTATTATTAGTGACTTGTCACATCTTGGCATCTCTGCTGCATGGCAAATTCTTCTGGGGAAAATGTAAATTTGAAATCTTACGCAGAGTTTTAACTTACGGAAACATTTTCTGGCTGACATTTAATACTCCTTTAAGAAGAGGAGAGGGACTGTCACTGTGTGATAAAATACCACCCTCACAAACCACTTTGCCCAGTGTTTACTTATGGTGAGGCAGAAACATGTTGTTCTGGGGTGAACGGAGTTAGAGGTTTCCTGTGGATTTTGCAGTTGCTCTTGGGGCTGTTTCTATTAGAGAAACCTGTAGTCAGGCAGTGTCTCTCACTGCCTCCCGCCATCGCCTCAGTTTACCTCTCGAGATGTGATTAGGCAGCTGGGCACTGCACCTTCCCGACAGCATGGGCAGGCACCAGGCAGTTGCTGGGGTAAGTGCATTTTACAGGAGGTCCAGGGACCCTCAGTTTTGGAAAACAAGAGCTCTGGGATCGAATACTTGCCGGCAAATGAAGCTGATCTCCCAGCCTGCACCCCAGCCATGTCCCTGCCTCTGTGCTCTCTGCTGGGCTGTGTAGGGTGGCAAGGGCTGAAGCTGTGACTTTCTTTCAGAGTGAAAACCCAGAAGACCCCACTTGGTCCACCCCAGGGGAAACGCTGAGAGCCCTAGGGGAGGGAGCTCAAAAACACGGCCATGGCAGCAAGTAGGCCAGGGCACAAAGAGGGTCACTCACTCAGGTTGTACACGAGGAAGAGAGCACTCATCCCGGCTTGCTGGTGCTCTCCCACTTTGCACTCTACCCGCCAGATCCCAGCATGTGAGGGCCACATCTCCACGGTCCCAAAGACACCTGGCCGGGAATGAAGAGCAGAGCAGAGGGGAGTTACTGGCTGTAATGAGATGCCATAGTGTCAAGCGCTGTGCAAACACAGAGCCAGACCCTTCCAGATCTGTTCCCCCTCCTTGCTACCCCTCCACAGGCTTGGCACTTCTTAACGGGCATGGACGTGAAGCCCCAGCAGCTGGGGTGTGCACAGCAGTGCCCACATTGCATCTCACCAGGATAAAGGTTGTAGACTCCCATGCGATACTCCTGGCTAGTCCTGATGCTGAACAGCTGCCCGTGAAAGTGGACGGAGTGGATATCCTCAGTGCTGCCCATGTTCAGGAGGTGCCATCTGACCCGTTGCTGCTGAGCCATTACCAGCCCGGGCAGTGTGTCACTCACGTAGCCATTGATGGCTGGAGAAGGCAGTGGTCAGGAGCGGCTCAAGGCTCCAGGGCTTTTCCATCCCAATATAGACTGTAGGATGGAAATGGCAAGGGTCCTCACCATGGAAGGAGTGGTTTCTCTTAAAGTCAGGGTTGTCCTGCTGGATGTGACAGGGAGGGCGGCAGTTCCTCTCCATGTTCTCCAGGAAGTACCAGCTTTTGGTTTCGTCAAAGATGGTGAAGAGCAGGGAGAACTCCTGCACAGCCAGCTGCCGCCTGAAAACGAAGCTCAGCACCCCACGGCGGCAAATGATCAGTGGCCCAATGAGGCCTGAGTGCAGGTCCTTCTCCTGCCAGGAAGCCAGGAAAGAAGGGTTTGCCTCGGGGTGGGGAGGTAGCACTGATGCCTGCAAGCGGCACAGCAGCAAGGAAAGTGGTGGCCCTGTCTGCATTCCTGGCCTGGCTCCCACTTGTGCACAGGGCATGGCACGTGCAGGGCGGGAAGGACATGCTGGGTTCGCTGGGGGATCCCCACTCTGCCCCTAGCTAAGAAAGGCTGTGCAGCAAGTGCTTTCAAGAGAAGTGGTGTTCTGCCTGTCCAACAGTCCCTACCCCACTAACACTGGAACCAAGGGGCCAAATTCAGCCAGATTTGGCAAACGGGTAGGGCACTGCAGAATGCTAGTTCCCTACAAGTCTCATAAGCTGGGGAAAAGGGGAAAAACCCAATTAAGAGAAGGGAAGAGAAAAGAAAGCATCAGCAAACATTCATCACACATTCATCACTGTATTAGACACCTGAGAATCTACACAGCCACAGGCTGCTTTCAGCACAGCACCATGGGAAAAGCCTTGACCTCAGAGCCAGGATCCAGGCGTGCTGCCCATCTCTCCTTCCTGGGATGCTCCATGGAGCAGGCTCCCACCTACCAGGTCCACACTGGAGAAGTAAGCCCAGGCCTTGCAGTCAAACTCCTGCGTGGTGGGTGCCATCTGGGGCACGACTTTCCATGAGTACTTCCGGAGCTCACCGGGCTGCACCACCTCTCCACCCTGCATTGTGCCCTGCGTCTCCTCATAGGCTTGCAGCGTGGAGTGGAAGGAGAAGGGCCGTGAGGCCAGGTTCTTGAACGTAACCTGCACCAGAGGAAAGGCAAAGCAAAGGGAGTGTGGGAGAAGGCTAAGTGGAACCTGGGATTGGATCCAGCCCCCTGGTGGGAAGGAGGCAGCCATGTTCCTGGTGCCCAGACCTCCAGCTGGGCCCAATGCAGTGGCTAACCCCCGCTGAACCACAAGCTGTGGCTGTGCAGTGTGATGCCCAGTGGAAAGCGCATCCCGGTCATGTCAGCAGGATGAGGCCCTCTCTCTGCTCAATGGAACAAAGTCAGCTACACTACTGTTTCTAGAGCCCAAAGGTGCTGAATCCATCCTGGTGAAGATTTCCGTGAAAACTGGGCAACTTCTCTAGGTATATGAGTCCTGAACCTGGTGAAGAGCCTTTCACCTCTTCCTTAGGTGGGTGCTGAAGGACCTTTGGTGGTGAGGGAAGCCCAAGTCTACCCTCACATAGAGCAACCCAAAGAAGCTGTACTGAACCCTGCTTAGCCCATTACCGTTTTTACAGTCCCTTTACCCAAAAGGCTCCCCGTGGAGGCCAGGAGCTGCTCAGGCTGTGCTGTTACAGGGGTTCGGTCTGTCTCAGGTCCAGGGCTTTGCATCTGAACACTCTGAGGTTCCTGCTGGCCCATTCCTCCAGCCACTGAGGTCCTTCTGGCTCTGCCTGCCAACCTGGCACCATCCATGTGCCACGCAGGGTGCCAATGGGGCAGCTCCTGCCCCCTAGCCCTGAAGGTGAACCCATGGGTACTGCAGAGCCTGCAGGCCCACCTCAGCACTCTCTCTGGCTGAGCATAGCCAGCAACAGGGGGTTTTCAGGTTTTATAGGAGGTGGGAACTTTCAATTCACCATGATGACATCTTCAACTTCTGCCCTGATGTACGGCCCAAGGATGCCCAAGTGTTCATCCAGCTCTCCCCGCAGCAGTGGCTGTGTGAAGGAATCGTCCATGTACTCTCGGAAAACCACCTTGCGGTACTGCTGGAAAGGCTTCCTCCTGCCGCTCCAGGGGTCCCTGCTGGGGTGAGGGCAGTTAAGCAAGTCAGGTGATACTGTCCCATAGGGAGGGAAGCCATGGCAGGGCTGCTGCAGGGCAGGGCTGATGCAGAGCCTAGAGCATCCCTGACCCACTTACAAGGATGCTCAAGGTTGATGGAATTACTCTCAGGTGGAGGGGACGCGCTGGGAGCATCCTTCCCCTTGGCTGCTTGGCTGGATCATACAGACATAGACCTGTGATCCTGCCTGCCAGGACATGCCAACTCATGCATCAAGCCATGCCACGCAGTGCAGGAGGAATACATGAGGGAGAGTCACACTTACGTGGCTTTTAGGAAGTGCTGGGGTCTCTGGTTCCCGTATTCCCACATCACCTCCACCGCTGCAATGAAGTATTGCCGTACCTCCCCCTGGAAGGAGCGTGGGTCATGCTCCTCTTCCCCATAGATGTCAAAATCCTCCATGGTCTGTTCTGTGTCACCATACTCATCATAGTCTGGCTTGTCAGCCTTTGGCCTCAAGGGGCTGGAATGGGTCCTGTTGTTCAGAGCCAGGTTCTCCCTATGTTCTGGGGCACGGTTCCTCTTCCCAGCTGTGCCTTTGCTTTCCCCATCCTCCTTGGGCTCTCCTAGGCCCTGGCCCTCTCTATTTCTTGTTCCTCTGAGGACATCTTCCCCACTGAGCACCTGCGATCCATCTGGACTGGCTTGCACATATTTGGCTGTTTTTTTGGTAGTGCTGTGGTTGCGAGCAGGGCTGCTTGGAGATAGGGAATAGTTCTGTTTGGAGGCTGGTTTCATAGGGATTTCTCCTGGGCTTTGCCCAGATATGCTCTCAGGCACGTAGTCTTCCATGGCATTGGCCTTGAGCTGCTGAGGCTGAGGACTGAACAGACCCAGCTGCTCCACAGAGTTTGTCTCCTCCTCCATCTGGCTTCTCCCCTGAGCTTGCTCGCTCCCAGGAGCCTGCCAGACAGCACCTCTGCCTGGCTGCAGCTTGGCCAAAGCTGGGCTCTGCAAGCCCCCAGCATGTCCTGCTGCCCCCAGGGAGACCGGGTCCCAGTTTGAGGCCAGGTCTGCAGCCGCAGCAGCAGCCTGCGTTTCTGAGCTGCTTGCTGCCATCGCTGCCTCACTCCCCGGTGCTCCCCATCTGGGGAAGGAGCGTCCGCTGCGCTGGGCCCCCTCACTGCTGCTCCATACACCCCCATCTGTGCTTGGCCTCCTCTCAGGCTGCATCTCATCAGCACTATCTCCAAGCAGAGCCTGTGGAGCATCCCTGCCTGGGTGTAGTCTCCCCTCAACTGTGTTTGATTTTTCGTCCAGGATTTGCTGGGCCACTATCACCTCAGGCAAAGTGTCGCTTGATACCAGGGACCTCTTTTTGAAGCGTGCGCTGCAAAAAGGGGAATGAGATCCACACACCTTTGGGGCTTTCTTATTCACTGCTGTCTCAGGGGTCTGGCTGGCTGGATCCTGCTCTGCTCTGTTATCCTCAGAGACAGTAACAGACCTGGTTTGTCGAGGGCTCCAGTTGGGGCCACTCATGGTCGGGGCTGGAGCTCTGTGTCTCAGAAACTGCTCAGGGCTGTTTAAGAAAGAATTTGGGAACAGCTCTGTGTCATTGGCCACAACATTTGATTCAGGATAGGCGAGACTGTCCATCTCAGGCACTTCCTTAGTGGCTGTAACATCTTGAAACACTGCCTCCAAGATTAATTCATCCCTCTCTTCTGTCATTATATAGCTGGAAGGCTCAAGGTCATTGGTGTGTGCAAAGGTGTTTTCTAGAAGGCTTGTGCCTTTGGCAAGTTCACTGACTTCTTCTTCTGTGCCACTTTTTGCAGGCAAGAAGTTACTCTCCTCTTTGAGGATTTGTTCTTGTACAGGTTTGCTGGGTCCCAGGTCTGCAAAAGAAACATTTTTCCCTTCAAAAGATTCATAAAAGTCTTGTGAAACCACTTTGTAAGGCCTTTTTTCCAACCTAGCATCTAGGTCATTTGAATAATTGCTTTCTCCGGTGTGAGTGTGAACGACAGCATAAGTCCTGTTGTCTTCTGTCTCGTCTGAAGATGCAGAAGGATTGTCCAGTGTGGAGGAAGAGTTATGATCAGTACTTAAAGACAGTTCTGTATTGGTTGTCTCCTTTGACTCGTATAGATTAAAGTATATTTTATCAGCCCCTCTTTGCAACTTGTCCTCAGCACCCTGTGAAGACATGTCTTGAAGTCCCAGATTGTGCTCCAGGTCATTCTGGTGAAATGAGCTCCTGTTCTCTTGAAGAGGAGCTTTGCTAGCAGCATAAACAATTGAGTCCCACAAGCTTGTTGCATGAGTAGTTGTCTTTTGAGGCTCTGCTTCCAGGATGTCTAATGTACCAGCAGACTGGGTCATCGTCTTTTTTACCGGCTCCTGAACCTCTGAGATTTTTGTCACTTTCTTTCCTGCCAGAGCATCTTCCGGAGCTGGTGTGGCTTGGTGCAGCCATTGCTGACCTTCTTCTGAGCTCACAGTACCATGGACCCTTCCACTGACACTCGCCAGGTGTTCTCCAGGTGGGAGAGCTCCAAACCCTTCATCCTGGCTGATGATTTTTGATAATTCTTCATCTTCCAGGAAGGATTCATAGGACACTGGCTCATAGTTTGTCTCTGGCAGGGAAGACATGGAAATATCAGGTGGATCGGAAATACTGCCATTGCTCAGGAGGGTCCCATGGCTGGGTTCTGTCAAGCACAATCTTATCTTCTCTGTCTCATTTCTGGAAGAGGTTACGTTATTCAGTTGCTCATTCACACATGGCCTGTGCCATCTCTTTCTTTTAGAGAAGCCCCTGGGTTGGAAATCAAAGTTGACCTCCTCCTCCTCGAAGTCCACATAATCTTCCTCATCAAGGTAATTCTCATGCTGGCACTGCAAGACTGTGAACTTGGCACGCATCCCTCGGTCCCTGAAATCAGGATTCAGGCACCCCAGCGTCCAGATGCCTGTCTCAAGAGAGGACAAGAGGACACCATCAGCCCATGTCTGATTTCCCACAGTGGGAAATCAGAAGAGCTGCCAATCCCCATGCTTCTCCCTTGCTAGTTGCAATCTAGATTTTCAGGCAGCCTCTGGTTCATGGTAGTGATTTCATGTTTTCATAATCCCTAGGGTATCTTACAGCTGGACTCACAAGACATCAGGGTTGCTGGCAACATCAGAGCCAGTCCTGGCAAGCACCATCAGCAGGGCTGGTGTGTCCTGCCAGAGCTTAGTGAGCTGTGCACACCCACAAGGCCTCAGCGATAGCTTGGTGAGAACAGTTAATGCACTGAGAACTCACAGAGCCTCCAAGATTATTGCCAGCAGCAGAGTAATCACTGTAATCCACCCCCAAAGACATGCTGGTGCTGTCAAATACACCTCTCTCCCAGACATAGTCGTCATGTCTCTCCCACTCAAGGAGAAAGAAATGAAAAGTCTGCCTCTTGCTCACATCCCCAGCCAACGCATTTGCTCCCCGCAGTGAGCGCCTCTTCTCCAGGCGCCAAGAGTGGATGAGGAGGCATGTAATAACCAGGCTCTGACACAGGAGAGAGCTGTCATCTGCTGCTGGCTGAGCTGCTTGCCTAGCAGGAAAAAATCAGAGCTCAAACGGATGCAATGTTTGGCTGGGTTTTAGAAAGCTTCCTGGAGTATCCAGAAGCCCTGTCAGCTTGGCTCAGGGTGCAGCGCTCATGACTGTCATATCAGTGTTTGCAATAACATAGTAAATCCCGTGTTTCCTCTGTAAGTGAGGAAATAGTTAATGGCATGGCTTTTGCAAATGCTAAGGAAAAAATACTGGGGGGGGGGGCAAAAAAACGGAACCAGGAATAAAATACTGGGGGGGGGGGAAATAAAACGGAACTCTGAAGCAAATCCTTCCTAGGTCTCCTCCATGGCAGCAATTTCTGTCCTTGCAAAGGTGTGGAGATGAATGGGATGCCGCGACCTGCGGCTGAACCCACAGCAGGGACAGCACTGCCACTCCCCTTGACCTCTGAGCTTGGAGCTAAGGGTGCAGATGCAAGGTCCACGGGGCTCATGTTGCTGCAACCAGCTTACTGGCTTGATGGCATGTGTGACATTATCACACCCTATTAATCAGTAAAATACAGTAATTCATCAGTAATAGTATTTACTAATTAATCAGTAAAATACAGTAATTTAATTTGATTTAAGCTTTGGAAGGATTTAATCATTGCCTCTCACTTTGCTGTTCCAGCAGATCGTGCATCCCTTCGCTCTCAGGGCTGCCAAAATGCTATCAGGTACCAGAGACCTGGCTGGAGGTGCTCACTTATCTCTGCTGTGATGCCAAGCCCATGGTTTATAGAAGAGCCCATGTTACAAACCTGGCTTTTCCAAACTCATGAAGACCGTTTCTCCAGAGAACGGGAAAAGAGTAAGCACGTCCTCAAAGACCATGTTGCGCTTGAATGTGTTTCCAGAAAAGAAGATGGAGAGGAAATCTGTTTGGGCTCCAACACTCAGTACGTACCAGTACACAACTTCATGCAGGCAGAGTTTTGGTTGGAGGTTGTCAAACACAAAGCCGTTAATAGCTGGAAGAGAGCAGGGGTGAAACATTTCATCAGGACCTGATTCCCCCAGAGCTGTCGAGCTTCTGCATGTTCCCTGCTTGTTCCCTGTCTGCCAGGGCTTTGCAGGGAGCCCCTGGCTGAGCACTCACTGTGCATCACATTGGAGGCATAAAACTGGGGGTCCTGCATATCTACATGAGCTGCATCAGTGCAGAACCGCCTGATGTTCTCCTCCAGGTACCAACTGCGGTTCTCATCGAAGACTGAAAACAGCACCAACCTCGTGTTGTCTGACATTATCTGGAAGGTGGAGAGGGAAGCGGTTATTCCTGGTCTGATCAGAGCACCCCCAGGACCCAGTGTAGCTGCCATGCCTTAGCCTGGGTGTACAGGGAACAGTTTACTGCTATTCACAGAAGTTATGGTCCAGGTATGGAGAGAAGGGAGCATGCAAGGGGGGATGGGGAAGGCAGGGCATTGGGACTGATGGTAGGGTTGAAGAGAACAGGACAGACAAATTTGATTTTACCCAAATATTTCACTCACCACAGTTATTCCATCCTTTCAGCCTGGCAGTTGAGGCAACAAAAGAAGGACTCACCTGATTTCCCCTCTGATCCATGGACTTCTTAAAGCAAATCAAGAGGGGTCCAATCAGGCCTGAGGCCATGTCTCGGACTGGGTTGATGGAGCTGTAGTAGAAACGGGTGAGGCAGCGGGGATCTGCCTGTGTTGGCCCATCCTCAGTGGTGACCCTCCAGCTGTAGGTGAATGACTGGCCAGGGGCGACAGGAATGTCCTTCATGTCTTTATCTGGCAACACACAGCCCAAGGGCAGATCAGTCAGGTCTAGGCGGCTCCCTCTTTTTTAAAGAGCTCAGAAAGGAGCTTTCCTAACCACACAAGTTGAACAGAAAACTACCCAAACCCATGTGCACCCCAGGATGGCACACTGGCTGCTAGCATGCGCTTGCATGGAAAGTTGATCTGGACAAAATGAGCCCCTGGGACTAGGTGAGGATGGAGAGGCATATGCCTAATTTTGAAAGCCCTTGAAACTGCTGCAAACTGGAAAATTCATCCAGTCTCATCTGTGTCTGGGCTCTGGGCTGCCTAGAGGAGTTTGCAGATGAAGGTACAGAGCTGGGCCAGGCTGAAATGGGTGAAAAACAAAGCAAAGAAAGATTTTTAAGCAAATACAGATAGACCATGAGAAAAGCAAGAAGGAGATTGGGAAGGAATGGAAGGAAAACACAAGTGCATATAAACCC